CTAAGTCTTTGAGTTTCATTTTCAGCTTCAGGTTCCAATGAATCCAAAATGATGAAACTGAGACTTGAATTGAAATCTGAGAGTTTTGATGGACAAGCTCACAAGTCTAAAATGACCAGGCAGCCAGCTGTCACATGTAATTACTGAGCCAAAGGTAAAACTAATATTTGTGCAGCAGCAGCAGCAGCAGCACTCTATTGCAGAAATAGGCAAAATAGTCACAAACCATATAGAAGTTTTGCATGAAGCCTAGCTGAAGCCATTGGATTTGAACCCTGAATTGTCAAAGTATTTCATAGGATTAATTAGGACTATAGTTAACATTTACAAGACAATGGAAAATTGCATGCTATTTGGCATGTTTGCACATTAAAAAATGTCCATAGCAGAGCAAAAATTTTCAGGGTGAAAAATCACATTGGTAAGAGTTTCAAAATATCCATTAAGTTGTTTCAGATAACTTGACATTTTAGATGATAGGCTTTATAATTGTAGTTATGCATTGGCAAACTGGCATGGTACAAATTAAAGGAAGAGGAATGTTACTATTTTATTTTTCTAAAAATTTAGTTGAAAAAAGTTGCTGAAAAAGTACATAAAATCTGCCTGCACTTTAAAAAAAAATCGCTGTGTGTTTCTCCATATACAACTACATATTGTTCTGCTGATGATGAATCAAGGAGCAATCAGGATGAATGCTCTCATAGATACAAAATAGGATAACATGATCCCCTTTGAAGATATCTTTCTTGCTGAGATGTATGTATGTAGAAGTATCTCTGTATACACTACATACAGACCAGAGTACTTCCGGAACTGATGTGATCTGAATTCAATAACAAGTGAGGCACCTTGTCTCAATAACGTTAGTTTCTCCAATGTCTCAAGCATGAAAACCTGCAACACAATTCATCATATGGATTTTTAAGCATCTATTTATCTTTACTTTTAGGATACTGATAGGAAAAAGAGGACTGAATTTCCTTTGAAGTGCTTATAGAGGTCTGAGTCATGGAACTTACCGCCCTTGAATACTAGAACTATTTGGTTAAGTTCCCAAACTTAAATTAGCAAGACTTTGACATACGAACCATGTTCATCAAATTGCTGTTTGGTGTAGGTAACAGATACGCTGAGAAAAATGTACCTCTATTGCAACCAGATAATTTAATGGAGTTACATCATGGTTGAATTATAAATCTAAGTCATCTATAGGACAACTCCATTAAATTACCTGTTCCAAAAGAGATGCTTCTTAAAGGATATAGCTTCATTATAGATAACATAGCTGGTATTGTTAAGTATTAGTAGAAAAACTCACAGGACTTTCTTTCAAATGCTAGTCCGGAAAATCATCTGTTATTTTGTACATACAGTTTTTATATATTTTAAATTAAAAACTGCAAAGAAGTTTACAAAAAATCTCTGCTATTCATAAAAAGCATTCTTTCATGTATCTCACAGTGGAAACAGAAAGGACATCAAGTATCACTTTGCTTTTATATATCTTGAATTCTTAGCCATCTAGGGTCACCGTTGTACTGAGATTTCCCAACTGTCTCCTGCTTTGGGAAAGCTACCCGACAGTGCAGTACTGACATGGTTTAGTGTCTTGGTGCATACACAGCTCAACTAATACAACCACTATTTTCCTTAGCTTTGCACTCCCAATTATCTTTTTTAAAATAATATTCAGTTATTAGATATCCTTCTTAGCACAGTATGTCTTTTGACACAGTATTTAACATAGATTTTTTTTTTTTTAAAGTCATTATGGTATATGTGGACAGTATATAGAATAGACAAGTTCTTTGTAACAGAAAATAATTTTTTAGGAAGTATTTACAATGTTAGAGGACATAACAAAGTAAGTTGATGTACGGAGCCAGAGTTGGGAGGAGAAGGGGTGTTAAACAGTTTGTATGTCTCTATAGAAAATGAGTCAAATGTTTTCAAAATTTACATTTTGAATAAGATTTAAAAATGGACAAACAAAATGATGCTTTGTGATACTTTAAAAAAAATCTGTTTGTTACAATCTCACATCTAACAAATTACTGAAATGTCTTGAATCTAATTTAATGGTTGTAAAATTATTTGCTGATGAAAATTTCCTATTTTATGTGCTGGTGAGGGAAAACATACCGAGATAGGAAGCCAAAAGGTTTGTCTCTGTCTCTCTGTCAACACTTTGCATGATAATGGAAGACAGTACTTAATACTGCTAGCAAAACTCTCATTGATTTTATCAGGAATGCTACTTGCATATATGCTTTAAGAGCTAGGCAACAAACAATGGGAGGAGGGTTTACATATTTTTTTTATAAATGTAATAAAAGTATGAATTTGGGATTTTTGTATCCTGCTACATTTTCATGGATTATCTCATTTCCCTCCATTTCACATCCCTCTCCCCTTTAGATCTGTATCACAACCCTGCTCTGCTGATGACCGTGGTCTGAGTGCGCTTCCCTCTGCAGCAGTCCAGGGGTGTACCGTGCTCAGGTTGTGTCGGCAACCAGGCGAGCAACCTCTCTGCAGCTTTCCCAGCTCTGGCAAGCTGAGACACCAAAACCAGAAATACATGCTTCTGGCAAAATCTCGGTTGGTGTAAATTGGCAATGACCCACTGGTTCGATGGAGCTACATTAGTATGCACCAGTGGAGAAGCTGAATCTTGAACTGAAAAAACCAAACCAAACCAAACCAAAATTTTAAAATTGAGTTTAGGAAACACAACTATGGCGCCAGCAGGAAAATCACTATGCACTAGTTGGGCAATTCTTTGTTTTTTCATGAGTTATTAGATTCAGTTTTCAGGGATAGAACAGAATAAAAGCTGAAAACATTGCCTCTCCCCAGAAAGGGTCGCACACAGTGTGGCTGCAGCCCCCACATGCCTCAGCCTGGCGGTGGTGCCTGACCTGGAGACCCACGTCTGTGTGCCTCTGAGTGAGCCCAGGCTCCCCAGGGAGGACGGCGAAGCCTGCTGACAGAGTGGGTCCCAAAGAAAGCTATGGCCTCTCAACTCGGAGTTTCAGGTTTTCAGCCAGACACTAGTGTCAGTTTTCAAATCTCACTGATCCTGACCAACTCTTAAGCATAGAGAAATGAATGATCTGGAACTCATAAAGCACCCAATCCACCATGCTTATAACACTTCTGTGTGCTGATACGCATATATTCTTGCGAAGGGTGTTTGTTCTGAAGTACTGCATTACGTGGCCTTTTGAGTGGGTTTATTTGCAAGAAAACAAACTCATGCTTCTTTGATTTTTTTCCTAAAAATACATATTATTATTTTTCTAAATTTTGATATATTTTACTGGTTGATTTTCCCATTAGAAGTAAGGCACAACTGTTACCATGTATCTAGTTCTCAAGTCCCAAATTTTAGTGGTAAAACAGAACCCAGGCTTAAGTGCCGCAGTTTAGGATATGAATATGAAAAGAAATATATTGTATAGCCCTTTTTTATCAGGAAAACTAAAGCCTAATCAGAATCTTGTGTTCAAACTACTGTGCTTTTTACTTTTGGTTTTGCCTTTTACTGTTACTTAGATTTTTCTAAGTTTTAGCTACAAGTTTTCACTAGATGGCAGGATTCCACTGTCATCTATTATCAGTGGCTTCACTTGCAACGCAACAGTTGCCCATCGGTAGGAAAAAAATTTTAAACATGTTCAAGTTTTGCAAAATATAAAAACAAACAAAAAGCTTAACAGTAATGAGAAAAATGGTACATACATTCAATAAACCATAGCTCTGTTACTGAATATGATTAATATTATGGGCTGGAAATCATTGAAAATCATAGCGAAAGATGTTCTTTTCTTGACAGAGGAACTAAAGGGACCTTCTTTTATAAAATGAGGTAGACTTACTCTTTCTGCTATTTGTGTAAAAGTTAACTGATCCAGTAAATTAAATTTAACTCAGTAATAAATATATTGACATCTTAAGAAAGTTAGAGCTTAAATAGCTAAACAACTGATTTAAAATAGTATATCCAAGTAGAAAAAACTTAACACTCAATGTACTGGATTACCAAGATACTAAAAGGTGATAAGATACATTTTAATCTCTCTCCCTCAATTTAACAAGGCAGAACTCATTATATGATGATCAGTCCCAGTATCATTTCAGACAGTGGTATTTTGCTGACCTCAAAACTCTGGACAAAATTTGTGCCTCTTGTCTAGGAGAACAGAATGCAGCTCCATGCAGTTACATAAGCCTTAATAACCGAGACAAATCTTCATTGTTGTACCAGTGGAGAAGCTGTTGCAAAGGAGTGAGCACTGATTTTTAACAAAACTACTTCTTAACTATTATTTTTAATAATTATTTTTAATAATAATTCTTATTTTTACTTTATTCTGAATTTCTACTGTCTGTTTAGCTGTCATTTTATACGTGAAGGTAATTTATAAAGTGTTCAATAATTTTCAGTTTTGCTCATGAAATATAAGAGGGAATGTTTGGCATCTATTAAAGCTGCTTCTAAGACTGGATAACTTTCCAAAACCAGAGATAACTCAGTGTAATACTTTCCAGGATTCCCAAAATAGTACGAACATTTTCTCATGATAAATCTGTATTTATTCTATGCCCAGAGCAGAAAAAGTATCATAAATAGATGACTGAAACAGCATTTCCTAATATGCGATTCAGTTTTGTGATATACCAAGTGTATTCAAAAACATACAGCAAATCAAACAGGAGCTGAAGGGCATACATCATTTCACAGTTTCAGACCTTTAACATTTAAGAAAATGTTTGCAATACTTGCAAGCTACCAAAAAGTAATAATTCCTTTTTATTGAAACAAACGTAATCAGCACCTGTAGAATCTCTGCAAAACATGTAGCAAATTCAAACAAACATCACAGTAAGATCCACGCCAACCATTTTCATTGGAAGCAGCATATATTTAAACAAACTGTTCTCTTCACTCGTGCTCACAAAACACCAATAACATCTTTCTGTCATGGTCCTACCTTGGCGATTTGCAAAGGCTGCTTTTGCTCCTTGCCACCTTGCAATCTAAAGCCCCAAGGCGCCCCTCCACTCATAGCAATGCAGAGATAATCCCCTGTGCCCATTTTCCTGGTGCAGTCAGGTAACATTCATTTACAGAAGAACATGAAAAATTTGTCTTGCAGATGTTCAGCGAGCTGGAGACTTGTCTGCCAGGCAGAGCTGGAGACCCAGAGCACCACACTGTTGCTGCTGCTGTGTACTGCACTAGCAAATGTAGTCATTCAGAAGAATGTAAGAGCTCCCTCGGATCGAGGGCACAGCCCACTCTTTCGTCAGATTTCTACGCTCAGCCCACCTTCAAAGTAAAGTAAGTAGCGCCGAGGAAATGCACACAAAGAGACGCGGCCATGAGGAAGAAAAGGCTGTATTTAAACATGACTCTCCTGACAGCTAAATCAAAACAACAGCAAAAAGAAGTGTACATTTCCTGGTGACAATTTAGGATGTAAGTTTACTTTAGTAAATGGTCCCAGACATTTTAAACTCTAATTTACCCATTTCTTGCAAAGAAGAAAGCAGAATCTTGAGTGAAACTTCATGTACATCCTCTGAATAACTGATACACTTAGATTGAACTAGGTTTATGATTTTCATCTCTACCCCGCATGACTTCCTGTAGCATTGCAGGTATGGAAAAAAAAAAAAAAAAGGAAGAAAAGCTTTATAATTTCCCTGTCTTGGAATTGCTTCTTTTGCTGGTTCGCTCTAACCTCAGTATAGTTTAACATGTCCTGCTATTTAGTGATGACCTGAAATATTATTGGACCCTAATAATACCTGTTTTTACGCAGCCTGTTGCCTTTCCTACCTGAGAGGGGAAGAGGATTAGTGGAATGAAGTACCAAATCTCTCTACTGATGCTATCAATGGATGATTTGCATTGTGTCATTAAAGGGGAACCCTACTATAAGCATGAAAAAAACCCCCAGATTCAGTGGGAAGTTAATTTGCCTTACAAGACCTGGGTTCAGTTCTGTTCCCCGTTGCTGAGTTGGGGTAATGCAGATGGTAAACAGCTAAGCTCCCCCAGGTCTAGTTGGTTTAAGGAGTGGTTTAAGAGGTGCCTGTTCATCAGCAAGGGATGAATATTGCCCTAGCTGCGTGTTAACAGCTGACAGCATAAGCGCTCTTACTCACCTCAGCCCAAAGTCAGTTAGCTTGGCTTAAATCACATTGCATTTTGAATTGAGCTGGTTCTAAAGGAGAGTGTTCAAACATCTAGTTTCTGAAACAAACATCTCTTGAGACCCAGGTTGCTGGGGCTTGATGTCAGATTCCCACAGCCTAAATTCCACCGAGGTCCCTGTACAAAGTGTTTACAGTTGGCTGGTTCTAGGTCTTCAGAGATGTCAGGGCAACAGGAGACACTTGGCATTTAAGTTACATGACTTTGCATCTAAGTAGCTGGTAACCGTTGAGGCTTTAAACCTAAGCCTGTGTGTCAATTAAGTGTCCCTGGAGTGATGCTTCCTTACACTACAGCAATGTTCTTTAAAGACCATTAGGCAAAATGTGAAGGTAGAAACAGGATCTTCTGTTAAACTGAAATATTATGGCTGGAAAAAGTAGACAGGCTTTTAGGCACTTGAGCCCTTCGTCAGGCCTCTGAAGACACTAAGGTAACCCAAAGACTGGGTGGAGAGAAGGTCCCTAATCAAACAGAGGAAAATGTCACTCTCTAAATGTCAGGATTTAATGGAAGGAAGAGTGCTTTCTTTGTTGACTACAAGGGAAAGGCTCTGGAGAAGCAAAACAAGCACAGCTTGCCATATAATTAAATAGTTAAGGAAAACACTATCAGAGAAGCCATACTCAGAAGGGGAATGGTCTGTAAAGGAACTTTGCTAGAGAACTTCCTCTGAGTTAAGACGCCTCGTTTAACTCAGTTGAAGGTGGCTAACTGCTTATTATCTTGTGCACTGCTGAGTTGTTGCTATAGCAGA